TTATATACATATATATATATATATATATGTGTATATATATATATATATGTATATATATATGTGTGTGTATATATATATATATATATCATCAACCGTAGGGCTCCTTGAAGGGCTCCCATTAGGGCTCTGAAGAGCCCAGAGACTCCTAATATCCCTTAGTCAAGGAGTATACCTGTAGATTATAGCAGGATTTCTAATATGTTTAAAGGTATATTCCTTAATTAAGGAATACACCTTAAAATCATAGTAGGATCCCTAATATGCTTTAAGGTATATTCCTCAATTAAGGAATACACCTTAAAATTATAGTAGGATCCCTAATATGATTTAAGGTATATCCCTTAGTTAAGGTATATTGGAGTCTCTGGGCATATAGAGGCTTCAAGGGCTGCTGCAGCTGTCTTGTCCAGTGTTCTTTCGGCCTTGCACAGGTCCAGTTGGCCTTCGAATTCTAAGGGCCTTGATAGCATTTGCAATAACCAAAGGCCTTGCTACTGTACAGTAAAAGCCAAAAGTTGGCAACCCCAGAGCCTCCACCCTTAAGAGTAATGTATAGGGAATCCCAGCATCCCAGCACTATTTGGCCTTAAGCCAGTTTCCAACTTTATGGGGTTTACTGTAAAGTGTCTGTATAGGGCTGCCCAATGCTGCTAAGCTGTATAACAGATTCCGCCACAGCACGGGCTATTGGTGCAGGTTCATGCTTGTGATGGCTATGACTGTAAACTTTTCCCATCTGTTGTCACTCCAAGGCCATACTCGTGAGTGTATACTACATCTGGATTGATTCATTTGATTTATATAAGCTGTAGCTGTAGGACTCAAGGACTCAATGCTGCAACCCTCTACCCTAAACCCTAAAATCCTCATCCCGAAAACCCAGACCCTAAACCCTAAAACCCTCAACCCCAAACCCACTTTAGGGTACTTGGAGGTTCATGGGACTTGTACAGGTATAAGTACCTTAACTGGGGTTATAAGTAATTCTAAGTATAGTTATCTTATTTATAACCCTAGTTACCAAGTCCCATGGAGCCCTATGGGTACCCTTAAAGGAGCCCCTCGGAAAAATAACTACCAAGTCCCATGAACCTCCAAGTAGACTCTAAACCCTAAACACTCTACTATAGATCCCTTTAAGTAACCCTATAGATCCATTTAAGGAGCTCTTTACTAAGTCCCATGAACCTCCAAGTATGGGCTCGGGATCCCGAGGCCTGGTCTTAAAATATTAAGGGGCAGATCTTCTTTCAAGGGTTGGCCTTCATGTGAGTTTGAGGTTTAGGGTTTAGGGTTTCGGGTTTAGAGTTTAGGGTTTCGGGTTTAGTTGGGTTTTTGGGTTTAGGGTCTCGCAGACTAGAGCTTTACTGTCGCGAATCGTTCGCGCGACATGCTAGCAGAGTACTGGCATGCCTGCAGCCTGTTCTCTTGCTCTTCCAAGCGCTGGCGAAGCCTCGGGGGATAAGGTCGTTCGATGCAGAGTTTAATCTAGGGGCCTTGATGATTAGAATAGGGTCTGTTGGCCAATTATGCTATAGCTTTAATTAGAAGCCCCCAAAATATAGTAGGGGAAGCGTCCAGGTTCTGGGGTTGAGGGTGTCCGTTTTACATTTTGTGGGTTGTTGGCTGTGCATTCAACTATACTGAACTTAGAACCCTAGCACAAATTATAATTTTAGCTGTTTCTTAGGGATTACAGTAACCAGAAATTAAAAATTATTCCTAAGTGCCCCTAAGTACAAGGGTTTAGGGGTTTCAGGGTTTAGTCGGGGCATGCTCATGGCAGCAACGGTGTTGAGCATTTACGTTATCTGTGAAGAGGAACCAAGACTTTCCAACATCCCTTGCATAATCACGGATGATACTTTAAATCATATTAGGGGGTCTTCTCGAAATTCAAGGTATATTCCTTGGTACGGGGTATTGGAAGATCTGGGGACTTTGGGAACCCTAACCTTAAAAGCCTGGACCCTTAGCCGAACTTTGGGAAGTAAGATAGCATATGCTGGAACTACCAAGGCTGGGCCGAAACATTTAGCCACAAACCCGGTGACATAGCTTCCATGCTGCACTGCTCGGCGGATGCTTTAAGCAAGGTTATGGGCACCTGTCTTGGTGGTTACTTACTTACAAACCTGGGTACTAAGTCCACTGATCCTTCAAGTGTTTTTCGGTTGCAGGCTTCGTACTTGCAAGCGGTGACATTCATGGCACAGAGCGGAAAAGCGCAACGGGGCGCAAAATGTCGAGATCCCTAGCCCCTAAGCCACCAAGCCCCGAAATCCTAGGCAAACTCGAAATCCTAGTCCCTAAACCCCGAAAGCGTACACTAACACGTGACGTTTAGCCCGAGCTGCACCACAAACTAGGAGCTGGACCCTAGTCTTCAAGAGCTCCACCTTCCAAGCCCACCTGATATCCCTAACCCCCCTACTGTAGGGTCCCAAACAGAAACCCCCGAAGCCACTAGGCCCTAAACAGCAAAACCATAGATACCCAACTTGAACGTTCATAGGACTCAATAGCTAGGGTTACAAAAAGGTAACAATACTGTCGATATAATTATAGCCTTACTTAAGATACCTAAAACTGTCGTTACCAAGTCCCATGAACCTCCAAGAAGCCCTGCAAAACGCTAAATGCAGCTGCGGTGGCGTCATTTCGCGCAGCTGCCTGGGTTTAGGGTTTAGTTTCGGGGGTTTAAGGTTTAGGGGTTTCGGAGCTAATCCAGAACCCTTGAGAAATAATGAAAGGAGGGAGCTCAGGCTAAGGTCTTTCAGGAAATTGAGCAAATCCTTCGGACTCCGGTGGTTGCCTCATCTCATGTACATCCACATATATGTACACACATAAATACATATTAAAAATGTGTGGGTATGTGTGTATATATAGATACAAATTGTATGTGTATATGTACATACATGCATATATAGATGTATAACCACATCAGGGTATATACACAGCACATCCATTAGTACGTATGTACATATACATCCATCCATCCATCCATCCATCCATCCACCCATCCATCCATCCACCCTGCCATCCATCCACCCTGCCATCCATCCACCCTGCCAGCCAGCCAGCCAACCATGCAGCCATCAGTCCATCCATCAATATTGCCGTAGCCTAGCAACCCAGCATGTCGGCAACCAGGTCCCCAGGAGGTTCGGTGTTTCGGCTAGAGACGCTGACGTATCATCGTGCTTGGCAAGGGGCTTCGGTCTAGGGGGTCTACGAGTAGGGTTTTAGGTTTCGGTTAACACCGTTTTGTAAAGGTCTCACGGGGCACTGGGACTTACAGAATAGCTTTCGTTCGAACGAGAATAAGACAAATCGGGGAGCTTCATGACCTCTTGCAGAATGGTTCGTTGAGTTGGTCATCATTTCGAACCCCAGGGCTTGTGTAGCGTCCCAGCTCGGGTTTAGGGGCCTGAAAACAAGCATAGCATGAGAAACCCTGCTGTAAAAGATCGAAACCCTAAACCCCAAACCCTGAACCCTAAACCCCTAAACCCTAAAACCCTAAACCCCTAAGCCTAAACCCTAAAACCCTAAACCCCTAAACCCTAAAACCCTAAACCCCAAAACCCCAAACCCTAAACCCCTAAACCCTACATTGTAGCATGGCCAAAGTCAGCCTGTGTCTCGCCTGGGGACTGCTCGCCCAAGGAGTTTCAAGGTCCGTAAACTCTGAACCGAAAACCCTGAACTTTAAAACCCTGCACAATGTACAAGGGGAACCTAAACCCAAACCCTGGACCCTACCCTGTTCTACGGTCAAAAAGCCTGCATAGGTTAAGCAGCTCAATATAGAGGATATACAGGTATGAATAGGAATAGGGCTTTGGGGGGGCCACAAATACTGCACGTATAAACAGATGAGAAGAAAGGATACTCGGGACACCCTTACAAGGCATGTAGACGCTAAACCCTGAACCCCCTAAACCCTAAACTCTTACCCCGATTTTACGCGCCGAGCTGCTCCACAGAGGTTCGCTGTGCCCTCGCGGGTTCATCCGTTGCCTCGCTTGAGTCTCCGAGAGTAATACCGGGGCCTGAACAATTAGAATAGGGTTTGGGGGCCCATGATACTATCTTAGAATAAGGAACCCCCAAAAATAGTAATTATTGGTAATCTTTTCAGCGCTATTATAGTAGGGCATAGGGTTCCTACTTCCATACTGGTAGTGTATATGGACCCTGGTGTACTGTGACCCCGTTTCTTTGCCAATATCAAGGCCCCTATATTAGGGCTTACCTTCGGATCCGACAACCCTATAGGGGTGGGCTCCGCAATTAAAGGGTCAGACCCTATTGTTTCGTAGGACTTGGGGCTACAGGTGTAGTTTTGCTTCCAGGTTTGCACTTCCAAAGCCTGTATCGGTCAGGGCTCTGCACCCATACCTGGACCCTAGGGAAGCTACCTTTTTAGAGCCCCTAATATGATTTCTTTGTATGAGTATATAAGTCCCGAAAAAGGTAGGTCATTTGGGGTTAAGGTAGACCTAGACCCACAGAACCCAATTGGAGGTTCATGGGACTTAGTATCCAGGGTTATAGAAAACAGGGTAACTGCACACATATTTAGCTTTTATCCCTGTTAAAATACTTACACCTGTTTTTTGCTAAGTCCCAGGAACCTCTAAGTACCGCGTCAGGGTTCTTCATGGTGGACCCTTAATGCTAAACCCTACACCCATGCCCTGAACCACAACCCTAGACCCTAAACCCCAGACCCTAAACCCTAGACCCTAAACCCTAGACCCTAAACCCTGGACCATAAACCTTAAGGCCTAGACCCTAAACGAAAACCCCAGTGCTGAAACCCTCCGCTCAGGTGCATGTTCTATGCTGCGAAATCAGGCCCGAAGAGGCCACCGCTTGCAGCAAGGCAGGACAGTTAGGTCAGTGCTAAGCACGACAGCAGTCATAAGCCGAGCAAGCACGAAATACTTTCGCTAAGCTGCTAAAAAAGAGTTCTTCCAAATTCGGTGATCATGGCCGCTCCGCCCAGTGCCTCTGCTGAGTCTGGGGTTCGTAACCCTCAGCAGGGTATGAGCCCAACGCAAGCCCTTGAGGGCGAACTCTTGGGGCCGAATTACGGCCAAGAGATGCCTGCGCAACTACGAGATGAGGAGCGAAGACTTCAGACAGAGACTCAGCTTCCCAATGGTGTTGGGCCGTCTTTGGCCACTCCTGGAAATGCGGAAGGGAGTCAAGACGCAGAGCATGGTCGGCAGGAGCGGGCCGAGGATCGTGCAAACTCCCGCGGGGTGCGCATCATGACTGAGCCGGCGCAGGAGCATGCAGATCACGATCCCCCTATCAGCTGGGGAACCGGACACGCCGCGTCAGTGCATGAGTTAGCCGCACCGGAGCGCGACGTGACGTTATACGATGAGAGTGGAACAGCGTTGTTTGACAGGTTTAGTCCATCGCCGTTGCCTGGACAAAGCCCAGTGGTCGGACACGCTGGTGGATCTTCAAGGTCTACGTGGTTTGGTCGCCTAGGCGACTACATACAGCGACGAGTCGAAGTGACGGCTTGGTCTTCACCTCCCAATGCGGGAGGCAACCCCGGCACGGCTTGGCCACGACCGGAAGGAGCAGCGGAACTTCCACGACTGCCTGTGCCTGTAGCGGCGCAGCCAGCACGGCATGCGGACTCAGCCTCTAGTGGATCGGTGGGGTTTTCAGCAGAAATGGTGCAAGCAGAGGTGGCGAGACAGCTGGAGCATGCGGTGGGTGATATCATGGATCGCCTTCAAGCAGAGCGACAAAGGACGATGGAGGCTACGAGTGAGGCGCAGCGGCTACGCCAGCAACTGGAGTGGCACGAGGCGCAGATGAAGCAGCGGACGGTCCACACGAGGGGCCTACCTACGGATGCGGAGATGAGGATGATGGAGGCCTGTGGTTCTGGAGTTCAACCTGGAGTTTCCACAGATCAACCCCTACCTGGTCCCCCGAGGCCTACTACACTGCAAGGCCCGCTACCTCTTCGAGATAACGAACTGAGTGGCGGTCCTGCTTTGGGAGATTTGAGCTTCGGTGGGTGTCCAGGCGTTCCTTCAGCAGTACGTCCTCCTCTTTTGAGTCTAGAGGGACAGCGACCTTTAGGTTCGGGAGTTCAACCTGGAGTTTCCGCAGATCAATCCCTACCTGGTCCCCCGCAGCCGTTGCCGACGGCAAGTACGCGCACACGGTCACAGTCACCACTTGGTCCTAAGGCGTTCTTTCAGGGCTTGTTCGGCATGGGAGGTACTGGTCGTGAAGGGCAACCGGGCGATGTTAGAGTACCTCAACCCTACAGCAGTGATCATGTCGTCCCGCCTCCAAGGCCACCTGATGCACCACCACCTGTTCTTCCAAGACCACTAGCACCAGGTCCGCCGGCTGCACCGGGAACCCCAGAGGCCAGCTTGTTGGCGACCTTGGCAAAGGGGATAGAGTCTACTGGCACAGCAGAGTGTGAGTAAAGGTGACCGTCCTGAAACAGTGAAGCCGGGGATCAATGAGCTGCCTTTCTTGCCGGAGTACCAGCCCCAGACAGGATCCATTGACCTTTTGAACTGGATCACGCATATTGGCCCGATCATGCAGGACCTCTCGGACACGAGCGCAACATGGTGGACCACGATCATGAAGGACGTCTCCACCTGGTACCACCAGTACAGCTCTGCGGCGCCCCTAGCTCGCCTACAACTTCGACCTCAAGCGTCACCGGAACTGACGAGGCCAGAATGGGCAAGGGTTGAGAGACGGGCTACGGCGATGATGCTGAGTGCTGTGCCCCGGGGCGTTAGAGATGAAGTGATAGCGCATGGTCAAGTGACATCATTGGTGTTACTTTGCAAACTATACGCCATGTACCAGCCGGGGAACTTGCAGGAGAAAGCCTTGGTCCTGAAGATGTTGGAGATGCCCGATGAATGTTCGAGCGCTCAGGAGGCTATGGAGGGGCTTCGCAAATGGAACCTTTGGAGGAGAAGGGCCATGTCGATTGGCATAGCGGAGCCGGATGCCTCGGTCCTCTTGAAAGGGCTGGACCGTATCACAGGGCCCATCGTGAGGGCCAACCATGAGTTATCGTTCCGGGTGAGTTTGATCCGGAGTACTCTGCAGGTGGACGTGAGCCCCAGCTCGGGTAGCGTCACGACGTTCTTGCAGCACCTGCAGGCGGAGATGGAGCAGCAGGCCCGACTCGGAGCGGCAAGGCCCAGCGGTGATGTGTCTACTTCAATGAGGGCTTTGACGGCGGGTGCGGACTCCGGGACGCCATCGACGCCATCCGCCGCGGCGCCTACTACCGGAACGCCGGCTCCCTCTACCCCAAGAGCCTCAGGAAACGTGTGCAAGTTCTTCATGGGAGACCGTGGTTGTCGACGGGGCAACAGTTGCAAGTTTCCTCACACGTGGAATGCTATGGATAAGGCAACCAGAGCAAAAAAGTGCTTGTGTTGCGGGGCTGTTGGACACAAGGCTCGTGAGTGCAAGGCCCCAGGAGGAGGAGCCTTTTCACCAAAGGGTGCTCCGAAGGGCTCTACCGTTGGAGCCAGTGACACTGGTGCCACGACCAGCGCTGCCGCTACTTCTGAGTCGCCCACTCGACGGGTGAATTTTGAGCCGGGCGATGTTCAGGTGAAAGTCATGAAGGTGATCGAGGAGGTGCGGCACATGAAGATGTTCCAACCTCTGGTTGCGGCTCTGGAGTGCTGGAAGGACCATGGTTTCTACGGCCTACCAAAGCCTCGCGGTGCGTTGCTCGATTCGGGCTCCACTCATGTACTTCGCCAACCTAAGGACCAGCAAGAATGGGATCGAGCTAAACAGGTGAATGTCCAGTTGGCGGGAGATGCTGTGGCAGCTATGAAACAGACCGTGAGTGGGAGTTTGTTGAGTGCTGAGGAGTTGGCTCAGGTGATTGTGCCCCTGGGCAAAGTGATCTCCACCCTCGGCTACAAGCTCGATTGGACGGCGGACCACTGCATCCTGCACGGCGAGGACAATGAGCAGCTGGTCTTGGATGTGAAGAATGGATGCCCGGAGGTTAGCCATGCCGTTGCCCAGCAGTTGATTCAGCGTTTGGAAAGGCACCAGCTCCCAGAACTCGAGAGCAACACTCAGCTGTCGGTGAAGGCCCTTAGGAAGCTGAAGATGAGCTGGTGGTCGTGCTTGGAGGAGTACGTGAAGACGGGAAATGTTCTTGAGGCCCGAACTGCTGTGGAGAAGGCGACGTTCATCAACTACAAGGATGTGGTCAAGAATGAGATGATCACGAAGCTGCCTCGACCGGGGATTTGGGACTTGATGAAGTCTCTCAAGGTGAACCGAAGGGCGCGCAAGCGCCTGTTGAGGGCCGAATCGTGGGCGCTACGATGGGACCCGCCCACTGTGGAGCGGTTCAAGGACCCTTTGAAGCACTTGGCGTTCATTGGAGGAGTTGTGTATGTGAACATGAACTCTATGTTGGTTGAGAATGAGTTCGGGGATGTTTGGAAGGTGATACAATGGGCAGCCCTCCAGGGAAAGATCAGCGCAATTGTTTCCCGCGACTGCCTACCTCGCCACTTGGACCAGTTGGCCGCAGGACCCCATCGCAGCAAGGTTCACTTCCTCCATGCCCTTGCGTGCGCTGGAAAACAGCGAAGCGATGGAACTTCTGTCAAGTTCTATGTGGAGGACATGGACCGCATCAACTACAACCGCCAACGAGCGACGGAGAACTACGAGGACCTTTGGCCCGCCTGGACTGAGTGCCAGGACACCAAGGAGTACTTGGATGAGATGGGACTGTTGGACGTCTCAATCTCTACGTTCACAGGGGCACGCCATGGCGAAGTTAAGTGATGATGCCTCTTGGAGACTACATGTGGCTCGGAATCATCAGCCTTTTCGACGGGATTGCGCTGTATGTGTTAGAAACAGTGCAACGGGCCACCAGCACCGAGCATCCCTGCATCCTATGGCCTACAGTTTGAGCGTGGATGTTGTGGGTCCTCTTAGAGGTTATGGCCGGTCCCCTGATGGCAAGTTCTTTCGGTACTTTGTCATTGGCGCCCTCAGGATTCCAGAGGTGGACGGAGGAGGTGGACATGCTGAAGTTCGAGGCCATCCAATTCCTGGGGAACATGGAGACCAGGAGGAGGAGGACCGCCTATCTGAGGAGGAGGCCGGTGAGGCTGATGGTGGAGATGATGGGGCGGGTGTTGATCCTGCTGAAGTTGCTGATGAAGAAAGAAAGTGGAAGGAGTTGTTGTCTACTTTCAAGGAGCCCATCAAGACCTCCACCTTGTACTTTGCGGTGCCGGTGAACAACAAGAAGGCTGCCACGATGCTCCCGGCGGTCCAGCGCATTGTGATGGACATCAAAGCACTGGGATATCCGGTTACCAGACTGCATACGGACCGCGGAGGTGAGTTTCGTGGGAATGTGGTGCGGAAGTGGGCACTTGCGCAAGGAATGTGGCCTACGACGACTTCGGGGTCAGATTCGGCTGCCAATGGAGTCGCAGAATCGGGAGTGCGGTTCTTGAAGCGCCGGGCTCGCATCCTTCTCGACTCCGCAGGGGTTGGAAAGGAACACTGGCCCACAGCGGTCCAGTACGCAGCGGCCCAACAGCGAGCCGACGTGCTGGGGAGTTTGCCATCAATGCCGGTGGCTTATGGGACAAAGGTCTATGTGAAGACCAAGCGCTACAAGACGGGTGCGGTCGAGGACTTTGGCCCGCATTGGACCGTTGGCCGATACGCGGGACCGTCCACGGACATCCGCGGAGGACATGTGATCTTGAAGGCCACGGGCACGTTCATTCAGACCACTCATGTGAGAGTGGCCAGGGATCCGCCGCCTTTGGACGAAGTGGCTCCGACTGTGATTGTGGAGCCAGAAGACCCCGCAGGCGATCTTTCTGACGAACCTCCTCTACCACCACCTGTGCGACCACCACCAAGGCGAATGAGCCAAGGCCCCCTCAGAGTTCAAGATTGACGGGTTTTTTGAAGATTTCGAGATGATGACCAATGAACCTGGGCAACAAGGCCTAGAGGACGAGGAGGAGGCGGCTCTCAAGTACTTGAAGTTTGACGAGATACAGTATGTGGAACGCATTGCGGAAGAGATGCTTCGAGAATCTCGTCTTGAAGATCATGATGGTGCGAGGCTGCTTTCTTTGATGGCGAGTACGTGTGGGAGCTTAAAGGTTCCAAGAGCTCCGGGAGGTCAGGGGCTAGTGATGGGAGCATTTGTTCATGGTGGTTCTTTTGGTGTGACCCGATATGGGCGTGACCTTCCTTGGGTGACCAAGTTCTTCAATGCCTACATGAAAAAGAAGTTGACCAAGAACTGGCCGCACCTCAACTATGCATGGACCACCCTCGTGATTCAGGCGGCCAAGGAGGTTCCCAAGCACAAGGATAGCCACAACGAGAGGGACACCTACAACTATGTTCTGGAGCTAAAGGCCCCAGCCTCTGGAGGACTATGGGTTCAGGACCTGGACTGTCAAAGACGAGTGGTTGGAGGCAGTGACCCCCAGGACTACCAGTACCAGACTGCAGATGATGAGGTTCACGATGGTTGTTTGGTGAATGTCCAGGAAATCCCGGCGGTGTTTGATCCGTTGGTTCCCCACGCCTACGTCCCGCATGATGGAGTGAAGTGGTTTTTGTCTGCTTATACGCCGCAAGGGAGTAGCAAGTTGTCAATGAAGGACAAGGAGTACTTGAAGTCCGCTGGTTTCCCCATGGATGGTTCTGAGTCCCATGGAGGAGATCCCGATGGGGTGCTGGAAACCAGACCGGCACTAAATGCAGTTTCCTTCCCATGTGAGGGTGCGTGGAGCCGAGCTCGTGTACCAGAGGATGATGTGGAAGCTGCAACCGTTGGGGATTGTGAGGCCACTTTTTGTGAATGGGCCATGTATACCGACGCGGTTGGTGAAGGTGATGAACGCGGACTGGATGCTCCTTCAGGTGTACGCCGTCTTTGTAAAGTGTGTGGATCCGATGATCCTGGTGATGAGTTGGAGGCCCTGACGACCTTGGCAAATGTTTTGGATGGAGATGCGATGTTTGGGGAGGCCGCAGAGGACTTGAGCACCAATGTCGAGTTCTGGTCTTCCTTGGGTTTGTATGATAACCCTCGGCTTGCCAAGTTGGAGCCGGAGTATGTTGAGAACATCGAGAAGATCATCCAGGAAGCCAAGGACTCCAGGACACCGTTGCGGCACACCTACAATGTGAGCCCCCAGGAGGCGAAGCAGGTGATCCATAAATGGAAGCCGGCAATTGAAAAGGAGCTGGGCGTGGTTGAGAAGGGGTTCCTGAGAGTTGACGCGAAAGACATCGCGATCCTAAAAAGGAAGTATGTGGTTCAGGAACTTCCATCAAAGTTGGTCTACACCGTCAAGCCGCCCAACGCAGCCAATGATGACACCTCCGAAGAGTTCTACTGTCGGAGAAAGGCTAGAATAGTCTGTTGCGGCAACTTCGCGGCTGAGGACCAAAGTGAACTGTTCGCCGGCGGCGCGGCGGCAGAGAGTCTCAGATGCAGTTTGGTGTATGCGCTCAAGCGAGTGTGGCGAGCAGCCATAGTTGATATCGCTGGAGCATTTATGCTCACCCCGCTGGCTCACGAGGAGGGCGGCGTCGTCTACATTATACGACCTCCAGCAGCCTTGATACAGTTGGGGTTGGCAAAGGAGTCGGAAAGATGGATGCTCACGCATGGCATGTATGGTCTACGACAATCTCCAAAGTTGTGGGCGTCGTTCCGGGACACCTCCATGAGTGACATGAGCGTTGAGGCGGAGGGAAAGCAATGGATGATGTTGAAGGGCCGGGCGGAGCCTAATCTATGGCTTGTCTATGAGGTGGGTGCGGCTCTTACCAAGGAGCCGGCGGCGTTGGTCTTAGTCTACGTGGACGACATCTTATTGTCAGGACCGTTATGGTTGGTGACGGCGCTGGCAAAAATGATTGGCCAAAAGTGGAAGACATCGCCACTGGATCTCCTGACCCCAGATCATGATGTGAGGTTCTTGGGTTGTGAGCTTTCTACCAATGAGGACATGGATGCCATTTACGTGCACCAGCTGCCCTACATAGAGGAGATCTTGCGGCTCCACGAGGTGACTTCGGAGGAGCAGTCGCATATCCAGGCTCCCCGCGAGATGGTGACCTTTGAAGCTTTTGAGGGTGAAGAGGCAGGCACGCCTGACGAAGTGCGTCAAGCTCAAAGGCTTTGTGGAGAGTTGTTATGGCTGGCACAAAGGTCGAGGCCCGACGTGAGTTTTGTGGTGAGTGCCATGGGCTCTTTGTTGACAAGGGCGGCCCCTCGGTGCCTACGCGTCGGTCGCCGGCTGTTAGCCTACCTCCAGCGTACCAAGAATCTGGCGTTGACTTTGAAGCCGGTGGGTTCAGAGTTCGTTGCGTTTTCGGACAGCAGCTTCGCCCCAAGTGGCTCGAGGAGTCACACGGGTATAGTGCTGACCTGGATGAACTCCCCGATCAGCTGGAGGGCATGTAAGCAGCCCTTCACTTGCTTGAGTACGGCTGAGTGCGAGCTGGTGGCTGCCATTGAGGCGTTGACGATGGCAAAGTCGATCGAGGTTGTCCTACGGCAGTTGGACAGCGGGCTGGGGAAGATCATCCTGGGAATCGACAACCAGGCGGCCATCTCCATAGCAACGCCTACTACAAATTCCTCGTGGCGGACCCGCCACTTGCGGGTGAGGGCGAGCTACATCCACGAGCAGATAGAGGACGGCCAGGTCATTGTTCGATATGTCCCTGGCAGGGATCAATGGGCAGATTTGCTCACGAAGAGCTTCCCTCGACAACGACTTGGTGAACTCACGATGCTATGGGGATTCGTGGACACTGCCGCTGAGGTGATGAAGACAGCGGCGGTCCGGACCATGTTGTTATGTCACCTAGTGCAGACAGCGAGGGCCCAGAGAAAGGATCCTTTACCTCTTGATAGCTCGATGGAGTTGTACGTCATCGTGCTGATGGTTGGCATTGCCTTGATTGCTCTTTGGGAGGCCTTGTGGTGGCTGTGGGATAAATGCTGCTCGAGCCCGACTTCTTCCCGGTCGGCTATAAGGCTCAGAGGGATTCAGGAAGCCGTGCAGCGTGAACTGGCGGCTCAGATGGCTCAGCGCGAGAGCATCCCGGCGACGCCACCGCTGGCCACGGAACCTACATCTACACCTGCGCCTGTGACCCCCCGTAGAACCAGGGGAGCATCGTCTTCTACTACACCGAGCCGGATTCCGGCTACAGTCTTGGGGTCACCAGGGCCCCGGCGAGTTCGAATGGTGGATTCGGCTACGCAAACAGTGATGGATGATAACTACGTGCCTATTGTGGAGTACCTGGATCGCGATGTGCCGGTCCCGGTGCCACACCCTGGACCTGTTCTTGTGAGCCCGAATGGAGATCACTTCCACACTGTTCCGAACTGCTGGGGACTTCGAAATGTGGCTAGGCCTAGGCGTTTGATGCTATGCAATCTATGCCAGAACAATGGCGGACGATCGCTCTACTAGGGATGGGTTTGCACCTGCCCGAAAAGGTGAGAATGTGTGTCAAGACCGAATAGGTCATGACAAGGAGGAGTGCTGAAACCCTCCGCTCAGGTGCATGTTCTATGCTGCGAAATCAGGCCCGAAGAGGCCACCGCTTGCAGCAAGGCAGGACAGTTAGGTCAGTGCTAAGCACGACAGCAGTCATAAGCCGAGCAAGCACGATATACTTTCGCTAAGCTGCTAAAAAAGAGTTCTTCCAAATTCGGTGATCATGGCCGCTCCGCCCAGTGCCTCTGCTGAGTCTGGGGTTCGTAACCCTCAGCACCCAGACCCTAAGCCCTCAACCCTAGACCCTAAAACCCAACCCCAGACCCTAAGCCCTAAACCATAAAGAAAGCCTAAACCCTAAACTGCAAACCTTCAGCCCTTCACGCGAAGCCCATACCCAGTCAGCCCGGAGCTCTGAAAAACTCCAGTGTAAAATCACCGAAGCCTCATAGGATTATTTGCTTTAGGGCTTCCGGTTTGGGGTCTAGGGTTTAGGGTTGAGGGCTTGGGGTTCAGGGTTTAGGGTTAAGGGTGAAGGGTTCAGGTTTAGGGCTTCGGGTGTAGGGTTTGGGGTTCAGGCTATGAAGGTCCCCTGGTTATACAAGCCCAGATGGCCTCGTAGCTCCTTAAACACTACTACAAACACAAAGCCTATACACCATGACACGGACAATCCTCTAAGTACAAAAAGCAGCATGCTACAAACGTGTACCGTACACACATCCTGGAAAACGAAACCTTGCTTCCTAAGTTTGAGCACACGGGCTTCGCCTCCCGACTCACCACATTTCTGTTGAGGTTTGGTAGCAGCACCTGCCCGGGGAGGTTGCGAGGTTTTCAGCGTTTCATGTCGGATTCTGATGTCCTGAACTCTGAGGGTTCATGTACCCAAACAGTGTATACATTGGCCCCCAAAGTACCCAAACAGGGACTACTTCAGGCCAATGTATAGTCTATTCCGGTACATGGACCCTTAGGGTGTACTCTGAGGGCTATATTAAGCTTTCGGAATGCTTCCGGAGTATAAGGTATTGGGGGCTTTAGTGCTTTTTCAGCTTTCCCAGCTTCGCTAGGAAAGGGGCTACAAGGGAACACTATTGCGATCGATTCAGACTCCTCAAATAGCCTGCTTTTCTTGTGACTGTTCCAGAGCATGTTCTGGCTGTCTGGCTGTATTCATAATGACCATGTGAATCAGATTTGCTTTATGGTGTTGGTGAGAAGCCTTCGTGCTAGCATGTCAATAAGAGGACGGGGATGACGAGCATGATGTCAGTGATGTCGCGAGGGTGACGGTGATATGCAGGTGGGCGGGCACGTTAATTTCTACTGTTGCTGTCAACTGCTGCGAGTAGCACGACAACTGCGACGATCACTAAGACGACACAGCAGTAGCAGTAGCAGTGGCAGTGGCAGTGGCAGTGGCAGTGGCAGTGGCAGTGGCAGTGGCAGTGGCAGTGGCAGCAGGCAGCAGGCAGCAGGCAGCAGGCAGCAGGCAGCAGGCAGCAGGCAGCAGGACCAGCAGCAGCAGCAGCAGCAGTAGCCGATGTCGACGACAACAGCTGCTACAGCTACGACGACGACGGCAGCTAGTGCTAGTGCTACGTAGTGCCACTGCTACCGCTACTGCTACAAATATAGTATGGTAAAGTATGGCATAGTATAGGATAGCTTACTTGCTGAGTTTCATATGAAGTGTACAGGCCTTCTCTCAAACTCTATCCTAAGCCCTAAAGCTTGAACTCTGCATCCTAGACCTCGCACCTCCCGTCGTCGCACCCCTTGATCACGCTGCTGGCGCACGGCCACTGCCTCGGAGGGCACAACATGGGCAGGACTCAACGGCTGCGAGTAGCGCCAGACGCCAAACCCCAGACCTGTAGCGTCCATTATAGTGGATTCATCGGCATCATAGGAGAGTTGATATGAACCACAGGAACCAAACGCAGAACCAACAGTGGTAGTGCAGGAACCTGATTAAGAAACCTTCGGCCTTTACTAGGGTTCCTTATATAAGTCCTATTTTGGGGTTATAGGCCCAAGGCTCTTGATCAGGTTCCTACATTAGCCGCAGCAGCAGCATCACAAGAGGAGGACACGGCCGCTGCAACAACTAGCAGTCGTGCGACCAGTGGCAATAGCAGTCGTCGTCTAAACAGCAGCGGCAACAGACTTAGAATTGAAAGCTGCCGCCGTCGTCGGACTCGGCATCGTCGTCGCCGTAGTACTTACTACTAGTAGCAGCAATAGTAGCAATAGCAGTAGCAGTAGTAGTGGTAGCAGCGGCAGTAGACGAAACAGAAGCAATAGCAAAGCAGCAGCAACAGTAGTAGCAGTAGCATCAGTACTGCTGCTGTCGCCACTACATACTCCCCCGAGTTCAGGTGGGCAGGCGCATGGTTTAGGGTTCAGTTCTTTAAGCTTCAACAGCTTGTATCGCCACAAGTCGAGAGCAAGTTTGATAGCAACGGACAGCTCAGTCTGATTGCTTGGAGATTCATGGGACTTAGTAACCCTAAAATAATGTAACTGTACTTAAAACATTCCTCATACTCCCATTTAAGGTAACTATCACTGTACTTACTAAGTGCCATGAACCTCCAAGTAGCATCGAGCTATTTCCGAAACGTCAAGCACACCTTTTGGCCTGTGCAGCTCTCAGCAGTCTCAGTCAGCTCATCACCAGCACGGCCGGAGGCTGAATCTCTTCAGACCAGCGGGGACAGCTGTTACCATTTTTACCATGTATGAAGACAACTGACTTACACAAACACATGTATGCATGGCGCACTCATCCAAACACGTCGGCCAGCAGCATGGTGTCTTCGAAATCCCCTCGTGCCGGAATGTGTAGGCTTTCAGGTTGAATTCTTCGGACTTGGGCTGAACAACAAAACTGGCCGTGAGAAGGGACGCTCGGGGCACCTTGGCAGCTGCAGGCCAGGGCACCAGCCAAATGGCTTTCACAACAGCGATGACAAGCAGAAGTCTAAACCTAAACGCGATATGCCCTAAACCCTACCCCAAAATACTGAGCTACAAGAACTACTTGCCATGTTGCAAGTAAGAGACATGCATCTGGACTACCCGAGGGACAAGCATGCGAGCATATGGACAGGACACATGGGTAGTCCCAAACAACTTGCGGCACCCTTGAGAACCACCCACATACTACGCAGGGCTTTGGGTTTAAGGCTGAGCGTGCTGAAGACTAGCTACGGAACATTACGAGTCATGAAGCAAACGACGATCCTAAATCCCCAGAAACTCCAATACCCCTTAATTAAAAAAGCCTAATACGGTTTAAAGAATATTCCTTGATCCTGCCTTCATTAAGAAATATACCTTAAGTTATAGTAAGATCCCAGATATGATTTAAGGCATATTCCTTAATTAAGGGATATTAGAATCCCCTAAACCCTAAACCCTATAGATCCCTTATAGATCCCTTAAAGGAACCCTAGGTATTCCTTAACTAAGGGATATTGGAGTCCCTGGGTCCCACTTAAGGCAGAAGCCACAAGTGCGGTCACGCTCCGTCTTGGGGTTGACGGCCGTAAGCCCTAAACCCTAAACCACGCTCCTTAAAGGGCTCCTTAAAGGGATCTATAGGGGTTCCTTAAAGGCATGTATAGGGTTTAGGGTTTAGGGTCTACTTAGAACTCCAGAAAGTTGGAATATGGATTAATGGTAGGATCCCCTATAGTTTACCTTAAAGGGGTTACGATAATGATATTCCAACTTTCTGGCTTCTACTGTATTAAGACCCGTTCAAGTCCCTGAGAACCATTAGAAACTCAGCGGCTGAGATCAGAAGCCCGCAAAAAGTGCACACTTTCAGTTTATAGTGCGTAATATTATCACAAAAAGTGTATATAAAGTGTATCCACTCAGCTACTAAGAATAATCCGTCTTTGCTACTCGTGGCACTGCCCTGGCCCTCCGTACAGACCGGCAAAGCTCAAAGCTCTCAGACCAAGGTCGGGTCCTGTGCTTCAGGGTTTCGTAGGGATAAGGGTTCCTATAAGGTTCCCATAAATTTGGTTTCGTAGAGTTTACTTGGAGGGGCCGGGGACTTAGTAACTAGGTTATAAGTACCCTAAATGGAGTTACCCTAATTATAACCCTACTTATAAAAGCTTTGGGTTTAGGGCTCTAGGGCTTCAACATGTTTCGTAGGGAGCAGCTCTATAACAGGGCTGCCCTTTAAGGGTACTTTCAAGTTCTGCGATAGGGTTCTCATTAGGGCTTCCTATCAGGGCTCCCATAATGAGGGTTTTGCAATGGCCACTAAGGTTTTGGGGATTGGGGCTTAAAGGGTGTTGAACCCACCGCCTTCTGCACCTTGGGATCTGAGGCGATGCTGGACTGGAGTTTGGCTACGGGTTTAGGGTTTAGGGTTTAGCGTTTAGGGTTTATAAGAGCCCTTAAAGCACACCATCACTAACCCAGAGACTCCGATATCCCGTAATTGAGGAATATGCCTTAAACCAAACTAGGGATCCTACTATTATTTCATGTACGTTCCTGAATCAGGGTTTGGAATGACAGGTCAGTGGTTTGGGGGTTCAGGGTCTACCTTAACCCCCAATAACCTACCTTTTTAAGGACTTATATAAGGAGATCATGTTAAGGAACCCTAAAAAAAGTAGGTTTCTTAGGGTCCAGGTAGGGCTTAGGGTCTGGCAGGGTATCGGATAAAGATTCCAGTGTTTGGGGTGCCGATCTTGGGTTTGGGGTGGAAAGGTGTAACGGTTGATGATACAAATCCTGCATGACTTTAAGGACCCTAAACTATGGGAATAATGGTATATTCCTTATAATGGGTAATGCAGAATTTATATCATCAGCCGAAGTATGGTCGGTCAAGATGGGGTTATGGGGCCAGGGTTTGTTAATCAGGTTCCTTCATTACCCAAAACCTCCCAAGACCCACAACCCTGACCCATGTGTGGTCGAACTCTTCCTTGCAG